AAAATGCTTGGTTCAAAAGAATGATAAATTGCTTACTATTAGGAACAAGGAAGGATACATACCACTTGTGGTGGCATGTTTCTAATGGAGAAATGAAAATTGCAAAATGCTTGGTTCAAAAGAATGATAAATTGCTTACTATTAGGAACAAGGAAGGATACATACCACTTGTGGTGGCATGTTTCAATAGGAGGAAGCCTATGTCATCCTATCTGTGCTCCATAACTCCGTTTGAGTTCTTACTTCCAGAAAATAGCAATCAGGGAACCTTGTTCCTCAAATTTTGTGTACTCAACTTCATGCTTGGTAAGAGTTGGTCACTACGCTCTCCTATTTCCAAGCTCTAATTCATTGTTAATTCTTTCCATATACGTTTTGGATTGTAAACACATGACTTTGATCTGTTGTTACTTACATGTGATAATAGATGTTGGTTTGGAGCTATTCCGTCATTGTCCGCAATTGGCAGCTGCTACTAAAAAATCCATTACTATTTCAGAATTGTCTGTTCGTCCTTCTCTATTCTTTGAGGGAAAAAAGTTTGACCCTTACGGAAAATTTTTGTATAAATGTTGGTAACACTCTCCCTTTCTCTTTAGTTTTCTTTCCCACATTAATTTATTCAAGTATTGAGGAAGATGAATAAATACAAATAAATTAAAATGCAGTACATTTAGGTATAATTACACCCTTAGCTGTGTACAATAAATACAAAGGAAGAAATAGAAGTTCTTTTCTGCTTTTTGTTCCCCTTTTTACTTATATAATCTTAATTTCATTCATTCATTGTTATTTAAAGGTCTAGGTAATGTGAAGCTGCCATCTCTCTCTGAGGGTACGGATAGTAGACATAAAGTCTTCATAACACAAAGTATGCTTCTGTTTCCGTGGGGTTATACTGCTTCAAATGGCAAACAATAAATATTAAGCCAGCATATAAATGTGGTTTGTCTATTTGATATTGCAGCAGCATGGGTCAAAGTGATAGATAGAATATTGGAAGTTGTAATCATACCCACTACACTCTGTGCAGGTGGTACTCAACTACACCTTTTTCTTTGTTGTTATTTAGAATTTCTTAAGGTAATTTCTCCTCATGGTTCTTTGTCTTGAATTGGTGTAGCTAGACTGAAGCACATGTATGAACTGAAGTTAAGCCATCTGTATGCCGAGTCAGTTTTGCGATACTGGTGCCAGGAAATATCAACCTACAGGGATGCCACACAACTAGTTGAAAGTGGAACAATCTCAGCAATCTTCCAAGCAATCAAGGATGGCCCAATCGAAATTGTGATTAAGATCCTTAAAGCAAACCCAGATTTAATTTGGTGCAATAGAAAACTTTCAAGAGATATACTCAGCGCTGCAATCAAATACCGCCGAGGAAGGATTTTGGGGTTTGTTTACCGGCTAGATGCAGGGAAGAAAGCATTTCTCTCTTTAGGAGATGAAGATGGAAACAACACGTTGCACCTATTAGCCAAGTTACCTGAGTGTCGGCAGTATAATAATCTCCGTCCAATTGAGATTATGGTGCAAGAAACAAAGTGGCTCCGGGTTTGTCAATTAACTCTAATTAACTTCATATTTCTTTTTTCGAATTAATGTTGAAAACATGCTATATTTCATCCATTATTTTGTTTTATTGAAGGTAAATTAGAAATGGAAAATCTTTTCTTTCTTGTTGCTGAAATTATAAAATCGCAGGCAACCCTATATTATCTATATTATATTATGAAATCTTTTGGTGGGTTTTTCTTTTTTTTCTCACTCTCTTTCTACTTGTCCCTTAATTTTTTTCAGGTGAATTCAAATTTGGAGTTTTTTTTTTCCAATTTATTTATATACTTTCATAGATCTTCCCACAAAAAGAAATTTTTTTTTCGTTTTGAGTTGGTGTTATAAGAAAGTCTAATTTAGAGTACTTAATGCTCAGTCTC